TCAGCAGGATTGTACTATGAAAATCTGAAACTCATGTAAGTCAGCAGCAGTCAAAGGGTAGTACTGAAAGTGTGATTCAGTCCCTGGAACAGCCATTTTATTCTGTTCAACACACTTATTCAGGACCACCTGCAGAACTGCCATCTTTCCCATTGAAGGCTCCTGAGTAGCTGCCCTTTGTGATAATTCCCCAGGAATAAGCTTCTTACCCATCACAGCCACTTACCCAATGAAGGCTCCAGCACAGCCTGTTTATTCACTGCCAGCCCCAGAGCATCCTCTTTACACTGTACAACCACTGATATCACAGCCAACCTATTCTATACATGCTTCTTCTTATCCAGTCCCACCTGTGGCACAGCCCTCTTATTTGGTCCCGGCCTAGGGGAAGCCTGTTTATACAGTGCAACCTCTGGTTCGGTCACCTTTTCCAGACCAGCCAGGATGTATAATCCAAGAAGCTTACCCTGTGCAACCTGTGGAACAGCCTGCTTACCAGGCACTTGAGTATGTCCCTTATTCAGGACATGCTGTTTACACCATCCAGACAACTGAACAGGCAGCCTTCGTAACCCAGCAAGTATACACAGTAAACCCTTCTGATAGCAGGCAAGTACATATTACAAACTCAGCAGATCAGGACTTATACTTAGTACCACTTTATGTAGCACAGACTTCTGAGCAACAGGCCTATTTAACACAACCCCAGGGTTCTTCAGCCTTGGAACAAAAGACATAAGACATTTAACATTATTTATCATTAACCTTAGATACACAAACACATTCTATTGAGCCTTTATTTAATGTGCAGAATTCAGCATTTCTATCCTAAGCAGATGTCAGTTTTGGGTACCAGCAGCTAAAAGCCCAGTCAGCGTTACATCTCAGATGGCTGTGGAAGGACAGCTTCAACACCCTGCACAAATGTCCTTCATTCAGCAGGCCTCCTCAGAGGCCCAGATCCAGCCCCCACACTTCTCTGCACAGCTTTCCCAGTCACACGTAACACCAAGCCAGGTTTCTCACTCAGCTTTCATTCATCATCAGCAGATGACTCATTCATCTCATAGGCAAGCACAGAAAAGCCATCAGTTGTCTACTCAAGAAGGTCCCATAAATCAACAGCAGTCTTTATATAGCCAACATGCTGCTTTCCAGCAGCAGGTACCTCATTCACAGGCAACTAACCACATTCAGCCATTACAGGTATTCCAAAGGCCATTACAAACATGGTCCAGATTACACCTCCTTTGCAAGAACAGTTGCAACTAGCGGCAATGGAACAATACGTAATACAGCCTTTAGAGCAGCCTCAAGTGCTTCAGGCATTAGACAGCAGTCAAACCTTTTCCCTGCAATGAAACCTAGTACAGCACCAGCCAGCATGCATTCAGCAGCAGTCTGCTGTCCAGCCACAGTG